CTATGATTCGATGATTCTATGATTCTATGTTTCTAATAAACTACAAAAAATATTTCCAGTGTAACACTCAGATCTTCTAATGCACATGGGTGAATAATCACATGAGACTGACTAGATAAAATTTTTTATTTGTAACAAAATTTTACATATTCAATCTAAAAACATGTATATTTAGTCATGGTATATTAAAAGAAAAACATACAGGAGTTTCAGCACATGCCTAATAAAATAGCTTTTCTTCCTTCTAACAGTTTTTTTCAAATCAAATACAACAAGACCTAGAGGACAATAGCAGAGGTTTTTTAACTATCATGTGGAAAACATTATTAGTGCAGAAAGCTTGCTTTGTTAGTCTCTGTAAAGCTTAGTGCTAGCTTGGGACAAGCATACACATATATCGGTACAGCAAGAATTATACGGTGCGATCCATTATTAAAAAAATTGTCTTCTAAAAGTGGATTTTGAGACTTAGCTCTAATGAAGGACTCAGGAGTCGAAACTCCACTTAAGCCTAAGTCTGAAACTGTGAGCCCAAACCCTCTAAGACCTGCCTAAGGGCACGCAAGCTTGCCACCACCCTCCTTCTTTGACCCCAACATTGCCGATGCCCTGGGAGTTCAGGAGATGCTGGAAGCCTTCCTCCTCAGACATTTTACTTTTTTCAAAACCACTAGCTTAAACAACTTTTTTTTCAGCTGATTCCTGATTTTTACTTTATACCATAGTATAAAGAGGGGGTTTTTTAATACCATAGCAATTTTTACTTTCTACCATACAAAGTTATTCATAAATACCAAACTCAGTACTGCGCTAATTCCTGACTATCCATGATGGATATGGTCCTAAAGCCTCCACTAAAAAAAATTACCGACAACAGCTCACCGAGCATCATGATCTACTTTCAGTCACGTTTCTGAATGCTAAAGTATCAGTTTTAAAAATAGCTTTAAGATAAATACATTTCTACAGAGAATCATCATACAGAATAAAAATAAGAATTTATAGTAAGAATTAGTCTAAGAATTTAAATTTATCAGATGGTCTATGTCTGCAAGGACAGCACATCTGCACCTGATACAGGCGGCATTATGGGGATACTCAGTAAAATGGAAAGCTGTTTTAATGTCTGAATAGTAGTATGCATTAATCTGTGAATAAATAATACATATTTTTACTGGCTTCTCTGTATAAAACCTGTGGTTACCACTGACTAAAATACATAGTAGCAAAATATTTCTCTTGGTTGGATAGAAAGAGTTTGTATTTCCATTAAGCCTATTTTTAAATGCCTATAAAACATTTCCAGAAAGTTAAAAATAGTGTTTTGTTATTTGTTATCTATTCTTAAATTATTGGCAACAGACTAACTTCTAGCAAAAAACCTGGGAAAGCTTTCAAAATATTAAAAATTTAGGACTACATGCAATGCAGACAAACATTCACACAACTTTTGTATCAGTTTTGTACAAGAAGTTGGTATGAGGCATATAATCCATACTCTTGATAATGGAGCTGGCGGCTGGTAGAAGCACATGCTGTGACCGAGGATGCTATCAGGTGTCCAGGCAAGCTGTAGTTCAGCTGCACGGTCATTTTTGTTCATGACTTCATGCTTCAAAAAACTCTAAGTTTTATTTGTATCTATCCAGTTAACTTACACTTTTTTTCTTTAATTTCTACTATAATGATAGGAAATTTTCTTTTTTCACATTTAAGTTCAATACATACTACTTTCCTACTCATTTTTTCTTTAATGTTTTCAGTTTTCTTTAGTGATCTTGAAAAAGCATTGTAATGCTCTATATTTCAGACTCCTTATATGCGAGATGTAGATAAGTATATCTCGTCTTTTAAAGAACTTTAGGATCTCCAGATGAAAAGTTAAAAAAAAAAAAAGAATTATCATTTTTACATAAAACTAACCTCAGAATTTTGAGCCTGCAGCAGCCAGCTTACTCACAAGCTCTTTTTTTTTTTTTTTTTTGGTCTAAAAATAGGAAAGGAAATGCCCTCTCAACCTCTGCAAAATATCAACAGAAAAAAAAAAAAAATCCCTACAACTCTAGCATGGAATTTGTAAAGAACAATTTACCTATAAACCTGTATTGAAATATGAAAACAATTCTTATAAGCAAAAAAAAGATTCAGAGCCAGCAATTGGCTGTTCCATTTTCATCTCACAGCTGCAGTTTCCAGGTATTTTTGAGATGGTCTGCTGTGGACGTTGGGGAAACACTATATAATTTTTTCAGTGTCTTTTCTTTGTCTTTCTAGGCTCAGCCTACATACCAGAATTAAAGACAGCTGGCAAAGCAGAATTAAATGTACAAGAATGATAATGAAGGGTTTAGTTTCTCGATAAGGTTTCACTTACAGAAAAGTATCTATGCTCAGATGAATACCCTTATGTAAAGGTTGGGTTCATTTTGTCATTAATATTACTACATACATATAAGTTAGTGGCATGACAAATTACTTAGGTCAAGAAAAATTGTTTTCTTGTAGACAGTAGTACAGACAAACTCAGTAGTGTCTGCAAGGGTCGTCCTAGTCATAATATTCAGGATTTATCTGTTATATCTGAGAAAGAACCCGTGCAGCCAGAAAATATAATCAGGTTTGTCTCACATGGTGTTATCATATGATGATAATTCAATTTAAACTGAGTCCCCACTGGGGAGGGTCGAGCTCAAAGTCCCGTCGCAATGGCTGACGTTCCTCATAGGGCTGGCGTACCCACGAGGGTCACCTCCCTCCACGCCAGCACATCAGACGTTTATGCTGTCAGCTACCAGTGGGGACCTAGGATTACAAGACCCACTTTTCCCAAAAAAGTCACTAGTGCCAGTGAGTTTTCTCCCACAAAACCTACTGTCGACCTCCTTCCCTTTCCTCCTGGTCCCTACCAGTACCGTATGGATATGCTCTGTGTGGACTTAGCTCTTCCTGAATTTTCCTTAGGGGGAAAAATACGATATGACCGTACTAACAAAGGTGTTCTACAGATTATTAAAACAGACTTTCTTCTCCTATTTATTGGGAGGAAAAATTATTTCATTTTTTTAGATTTTTGGGAGGTATTATAGAATATAGTAATGCATAGACGTTCCTCTGGAATTACAATATCCACTCATATGACTGTAAGAGTCTCAGTAAAAAGAACTACAGACTTGACTTGAAGTAGAAAATGAGTAGTAACTAAAATGCTTATTAAGCCTACCCTTTATTTTGCAAACCAACAGACGCTACAGTAAATTTTTGCATTCTGAAACATTTAAAGAACTTATGAGTCAGCTTCTCAACTTCCTGCACTGCTACTGTGCTCCTATTGTACATAGATTTACAAAAAAAATCTGTTTTCAACAGATGCTGTTTTAGCAGCCAAAAATAACCATGAAAACCAATAAAATAACCAACAAAGAAATTAGAAGGGGGAACAGATGACAGTCATGTCACTGTCCCGTACTATGTTTAATCCCCACGGGTGTGAAACCCTTGTGCTTAAAAGAAACCTTCACGATACATTTCGCAATGCTTTAAGGAAAAAAGTAGAGTGGTTTATTATCAAAGCAAGAAACACTAGCAAGTGCACTGCAGCATGGCATACGGTGTTCCAGGGGAGATCAGTATCTGTTTTTGCTCTTGACATGATTTTTACACTCCGTATAATTCCCAGTCTGAGATTTACCAGTCGAGACGCACTTTGCGTACGTTCAGTCTTCTCTACATTACTGTGCAATGGCATTTCTGGGAGTGGACATAGTTCCTGTAATCAGCAAGCTGCTTCAGGTACAAATTGGAAGGCCATCTGTGCATCTCTACAAAATTGCGCTCCTCCACTAAACAAAGCAATAAAGGAATTAAATGTAATATCCGAACATACAGCACAAGTGCACAGGCTGCAAAAAGTCTTTTAAAATAGGTTAAAAAACATTAAGGATATAAATACAACTAGAAAAGTAAAGATGAGTGCTGTCCATTTTGCCTAGATCTTACTGTATTGCAGATGTAAATGTTACCACATGATGTTCCCTTGCTATTAAGTTAGCAATAAATAAGTTACTTAATAAAATAAATACAATACTTATTAAAGGGAGCAGAGAGATTATCCTGAAGGGGAGTATTCTTTATCCTTAGAAGATACCCAGATGTGGTAATCAGCTGTGAGGTTTTTTCTATGCTGCAACACTATAAAGGAGGGTATTTTAATCCCTATGCCAATAGTTTGTCTCAAGATCATTACAAAAAGCAAGGAGAGCATTCAGAATTTGGCAAGACTTTTATCTTTTCTTCCACGTGTTTTTTGTCACTGACAAAATCATGTAACAGAGTTTTAATCTATATTATTTAGATGAATGCCCTCTGCCTTTGCGGAAATATGCATTTTCATCCCCCTGCCCCAGATTTTCCCGAGTCAGCCCGCAGCAGTGGTTGCCCGGTCCTTTTAGGGGCTCAGACCAAGCCGGACAGAGACCAACACACAGCAGTGAGACCTGCAGCTTGGGGAGGGCTGAGGTCAGGGAAATGGGAGTAATAACGGGCAGCAGGCAGCGCCCTCCCGCTGGCCTTGTGCGAAACGCAGGGCTGCTTCTGAAGATTTCAGCTGTCAGAAAGCCAGCAGAGAGCCGCTGCCTGGTGCTGCATTGCTCTCCCTGAACCTTGAGGTGATGCCCTGTTGTGGTGTCCTGAGTAAGAAAGGCCAACTGCCCGTAATGGCTGCTGTCTGGGAAGCGTGCTCCCATCGGAATGCGCCCGGGAGTGTTTGTGCCCTGGCAAGCCGGGACAGAACGGTTTCACACCATCCACCTGTATTTACTTATGTGCTTTTATTTCTTTCCTCCGGCTTGTTCAGTGCAAGTTCAATGCAGCAGAGCATGTCGACCCCTCAGTCAACCATATGGAAGGGACTCAAAGGAAGGAGAAAAGCAAAGGGCAGGCTGCCGGACATGCGGACACCAAATCTCAAAGGATACCACCCTGGTGGCGTGGTACCCTTTTCCTTCGAGTCAATCCCCAGGTGCTTTTGAAAACGGCCAACCTGGTATCAGCCACCCGCCAGAGACTTCAGGAATCTCATCCGACAGCCAACAGCTTTAGTACTGCTCTGCACCAGCCCTGGATGCTCCACGAGTGGTGGAAGCATGGAGGAAACTCCAGGTGATGGCACAGCAGACATTTGGCGTGGTGATATTTTACAGCTCATCCCCGAGTTACTCGGGCGCTGTCAGAGCACATGCTGACAAGTGCTGATAAGTGATGTTTATCAGAAGCATCACTGAATAGGTTTCATGACAGGCTCGTACGCAGCCTGAGACCCATCAGGATAACTGCAACATGGAGACAGAAGCGCTATTATTACTACTTTCCACAGCAGAAAAAAATAACTTAATAAGCAATATTGGTAAATTGATATCTCACTGGGGAACTGGAAAATGCGTAAGCAGATGTGCCTAGACTGAGCCCTGTGGTGATCCTAAGCCATCGGGTCTCTGTGCTCTCCTGCCTCACCAAGGGGAAGCCAGAGGCAGCTCCCACCTTCACCAAATGGAGAGGACAACCTGATTCCTGCAGCTTCAGGAGAACCTCAGGATGGCTGAGACCGAAGCCCTGTCGCAAGGAAGATGTCACAGAATGTTGCCAAACACACCCTGACACCTGAACCAGCCAGAAGGGAAGCAAAGCAAGTCCACTGTGGACCGAACCCATTGGTGGGTGACACCCACCAGCACGGGTGCCCTGCTCTTTCATGTTGAATCCAGATCGGGGCTATACAAAATGGACATTTCAGAAGATGCACAAACGGGCCGCTGGAAGACGAATTCCAGGTCCAAACAAGGCAGGGAGGACTTAGCTCTCCTTTCTTTGCTCATAACAAATACAAAGTCGTCCGTCATCACACATACATATATGAGCCTTGCAAATGAGGAAAGAGGACTTTTAATGTATTTTGGACCAAACAGAGCTTCAGTTCACTTATAACAAAAACATCCCCTTCTGGAATACACTGGCCCCATACCAATGACCTGAGTATGAACCACGGGTCAAAGAGATGCACCCATCAGGACCACCTTCATCAGGGTGATGAAAAATCCCATAGGCAATGAGCAAAACTTTCTAGAATTACATGTCAGGAAACAAATATACTGTTTGGGAAAATAAGTATCAGTTCCCTGGAAGAACCTGGGTTTATTTACTTGGATGGACATTAGTTATTTGATTTCATGAGATCTTCTGGAGAGTACTGTAAGAATCCTATTTTCTTCAAAGAAAACCCCAACCCTTAAAGAGCAGGTATTAGAAGTGACTCACTACCTTGATTCAAATATACAAACTAAACAAAATTATATACATAAGGTGGAGGGGTTGACATACGATGACCAAACCACCCTAGTCAATTCAGTTATGGGTAGGAACCTGGCCATCAGCACAGGAACCAAAGGACAAGGGGGTGTGGTTGCTGGCTATGCTGCTCTTCACGTGTCGCATGCTGGTCCCACAGTAGGGTGGTGAGCCATCCAGCTCAGACTCTGGACTGGACTAGACTGTATAGCCTAAAGGAGTCCTAATTGCCTTCTCATGCAGAAGTGGTATTGTCCAGCACCTCGCTTCTGATCTAAGCACAACTGAAAAACATTTCTTTTTTTAAAAGTAATTGATAGATTACCTGAAAGATCTTGAAATTCAGGCTTTTGACTGAAGATGAGGTAGTTAGTGGCAATAAAATGAAGAAGCCAAGTTGAAAGGCAATCAGAATTGTGAAACTGTGAGAAGAGAGGAAACACAAACAATACCTAATGCTATCATGTCTAAAACACAACCACGCCTCGCATGTCAAAATATTTCAGATTTCCACTGTCAACATAGCAGCTTACTAAATAAAGTTTTGACTGTAGGAGATAACGAAGGAAAAGTCATCGATGGAAATATGTAAACAGATGGACACCCGAGAACGAGCGACAACACTCACTCCCCCAGTGGTGTGACCTAACCCCTGGGGCTGCTTTGGTCATTAATCTTGGAAATTTTTGTCTTCTGCACAGTAGCAGAGCTTCAGAAAAAGGAAGGTAAGGAGCGTGGCATGCTGGTTTTGTTGTCTCCTCTTTCTCCACAAAATAAGACAATATCCTGCCTGAGACTTGTAAACAATTCAGTTTTTATTTTCCTCTTTTGTTTTCCAAATCTGCCTTTACTGTCTGTCTCTCTCTCTTTTTTTCAGCCTTTAATCTTTTCTTTTCATGCTTTTTATGTATTTAATTCAATATTCTATCAGGTTAGATCTCCTTTGCCACTTGCATATAAAACAATTTTCTTTTTGACTGAGGAAGTAATGCAGCTGCACTTGCCTAAAACACATCTTTTCTGGTAGAAGTTGCAATTAAGCTGAATTACTGCAAAGTGTCCTTGATGAAGGAAATGGCACAGGTTATGGTATGACTGGACATTCTACAATAAAAGGCTGAAGAAGGCCTTATTTTAGCCAACCTTGTGCCACCAGGTCTCCCTAATCAACAGATTGTATACCAATGTTTGTCTTTGGGAACAGAAATTACTAAGATCTTAAAAACCTTAACAAGGATGTTTTAAAAACAAACAAAAACCCCACTAATTAAAGTCAACATATATATTCTTATTTAATACATACAACACATACATACCTTAGCTTTTTTGAGCAAGCTAACAATACTGAGACTTGTGGATGCCAGTTCCCTGCTAGGCATGCTCTGAAGCTGAGTGATAATGTAAAGCTCACAAATATGCTGCAGCCTCATTACTTGGTACATCTCTGCACAGATCAAGAGAGACATAGCTTGGAGAATACTGGCTGAAAAACAAGAAAACAGAAGTTACAGGTGTTTTACTTTTTTGACAGGATGATCAAAGCCACTTTTCACAGAGTCATCTTTTAAACACCTAACAATGAAGACAAAATCAAACCACTATCACCTTCTTTTATTTTTCACTATTATCATTATAAGTTTGCTATATCACTCTCTTTCTCCAGATAAACTATGTAATTAACAGGAAAAGAGTAGTTAGTACTTTTTAGAAGGCGAGTGTAATAAACTGCAGTCAGTATCCTATCTCCTGAAGATGCTGAGTCAAGTGCTGCTGGTCTGTTTAAAGTAGGTGGTGATTAATAAGAGGATTTAGCTTTCTAACTTCTCTTTCAGAAAAGAACCTCTATGATACGTGTACATGAAAATATAGTGGAAAGGACAAAGAGAAAACGGAGCAACCGTATTTTTAAAAAAATATGATACGGTGGTTGCATATTTGAACTGATGGACAAGGAAATGTTAGACAGACTGAAAAGAGAAACATATGGAAAACCTAAGAATAAGGCAGAATTATCTGAAAAGAAAACAAAAGCAAAAATACATATCACACCACTGTTCATTCATTCATTATATCAAAGGAAAATTATCTGTATTTAAATCATATTTCATATTCAGTATGTAGATTTTCTTCTCATTAAAAAAGCAGAGATTAAGACACAAAGAATACTTTAGTTCACTTTTTCTTGCCAAATACTCCAGCTGACTTTTTTTTTTCTGGTTTTACATACAAATGAGATACTCGTGAATAAATAAGGTATTCTTGCAATTTAACCTTGTTTATATTAAACTTAACAAAATACATACTGAACAAAATGACAATTTTGAAATAAGACCCAGAATTAAGTTTAGAAAGCAATATTATTTTGATGTAGAAAGAAAATTCCAAATATTGTAATGGACCAGAAACTAAATTTCACATTTTTTTGTCTTGCTGTGTAAGCACAAAACCGTGATATTTGTTCTGCCTCCAGCTTATTTTACTTAAATAAGATTGATTTTTTTGTTTTCTTGCACAATATGAACAAGTTATTTTTCTTGAGACATTATTCATAAAAACATTGGCATTTTTCAATGAAATAAATGCTGCTACACTGCTTTCTACCAATGTCCCACTGTGGAAAAATGAGTAACAGGAATAAATGTATTTTTAAATTTTCTTACCTGGGCAGCAGGAGTCCGTATAAAGATACTCTAGAAAGGAGAGGAAAGTGTCTTTGGAAACCCCATACACTGGAACCAGAATACTATTTGCTTCAAAATAATTACCATTAAACATAGCTGCCATTACCTCACAGCGAGCTACCAGAACTGCTCTGTGGGCTGGTACAGTTGCACCTGCAGGATGCAAGACAAAATATATTATTATTTTAAATACATTGTAATATCTTGATTTTAAAGCTCATATTTTCTTAGAAGGCCTTCATTTCACTGACCATAACTTAAAACAATTTTAGAGTGTTTAAAATCAACAGTATCCAAGTGATAATTAATGACACACTCACTTTATACCAGTCAAGATGTTTACATCTGCCTAGTAGCCACCAGCAAACAAAAAGAAATACCAAATTTATTATGACAACCTGCTCCCAACACCAGGTGCTCAAAATATGGCAAACTTTTATCAGTCAAAAACAGGCTTTCAACTAGTATAAAATCTGACACCACTAGGGTTACACCAGTTTACACTAGCTGAACCTCTGGCCCATTGTGTAAATATGCAGTGCTGTGAATTGTTATGCAAATGAGTAATTTGTGTTCATCAGTAGTCCCACTGGTAATGAATGCGTGTTCCAGAAGTCAAACTTTCACATAACCACACAAAGCAGAGAAAGGCAGATTATCACAGATGAAATTCCATTAAATCCATTAAGTAAGTATGAATTTAACCAGATTAAGTATTTTGCCTAAATGAATTTCCTGATGGTTGTCTTACGAAAATAATGCTGATAAATTTTTCCAGAAATTTTGCCGTTTTCTAATATTTGCAAGTGGATCATTTACTTTACTACAGCATTCGTAAGACCTAGTAAGGTTGACAGCCCAGCGCAGTAGAGGTCTTACAGGTTCCCAGTGAAAATGTTGGCAGCCTGAGCTCCAGCCCCGACACTCAGACTTCTGCAGAGTCCAGCTGAACTCAACAGTCCCGCAGGCAAGAAGGTGCCAAACAAGTGCCAGGCGGGACAGCAGCCAAAGACAGAATGAGAACTTACAGTCAGATATGAATGTTTTAATCAAATTTATAATAAATAGATCAACTGACATGCAAGATAAATATACTGTAAATACTTATATAGAAGTTACTGTCTTAATTTCCTCCTTAACCACAACCCTGCCACCTGCCTAACTCCTTGAAGACATCTGGCCCTTTTTCATTTTTCTTCTATTTCTATTCACTTGTGCTTCTATTCCAAATTGTCTGCGCTGCATACAAAATTTGTATGTTTCCATATAGAGAGAACATGTGCCGATGGTATTACATATTCACGCACATAACATGAGTAATACACGATGCAGATGTGGTGTAAGATACGCATGCAGTTTTGTATGTGCATGCAATTGGGTGTTTACCTACTAATTAGGAGGTTCAGTCACGTTATGAGTCTTTACACAGACATAACGGGCTCCCATTTTCAATGGCTCCCAAGTACTTTCCTAAGCTAGAAAGGTCGAAGCAACCCCCAATATTCAAGGAATTAGTTGAAGACTTAAAAATGTATTTGCCTGATCAAGACTAAAAACTTCAGTTTCTCTTAGTAACTATTTAATTTTAATACAATTTTTGTGGCTGATTAATAGAGACAAAGGGCTTGGAAGATTTATCAAGCATTAGGAAAAACAGTTCACATTTTAGTAGTGGGTAACCACACGTTTTAAAAAATGTTTGTCAACCCATTTGGCAGTAATTTTTTTTCTGTAAAATATATAGTGGTGGTATGATTTAATCAAATTCCCACAAAGCCTCTCTCAGGAGTGGGACACTGAGATGAATTGTTCATGTCATTAAACTCAGCATCAGTATTTTGTTCTAATTTTCAAAGACCTTTTTGTTTTTTCTGCATATTAAAGAGAACATCTAGAAAGAATCTGCTTGTCCTCGTGTGCTTATGTTTGAGGGATTAATGCTTCATATTTGGCTCTGAGATTTAAAGCTGAAAATAATTAAACAATTGCCTAATCCTAAAAGGCCATTTCTGCATGAAGGGTGGGTGTGGACAAATCGAGAAAATCATTAGTATTTAAAAACCATCTCCTTCTTATTCTCACAAAAGCGTGAGACACTTTTTCCCCCCCGTATCTTTATTTTTAAGGGTGAACGCATTTAGTTTCCAGAAAAAATCAACCATGACACTGCAGCATATTGGTGCACCCAAGCACATTCTTTGCAGACAAAAAGGGGACAAAAGACGGTTTCACCTGCCCGTGCCTTTGCCGAGGAGCACTTGGCATCTTTGTGAGCCGACCTACGTAACGCCACCAGCAAAACCTTTGTAACTTAACGGTCTGTTACAGACAAGTCAGCACGGAAAGCCAGCCTCCGCTCCCCCACATCTTTTTAATCCTGGCCACAAAGAGGACTCAATAATTACCATCATCTCAACAGACTTTTTTTTTTAAAAAAAAACCCAATAATTTAGACGTTTCTTTTCACACTTGCAGGGTTGTGCAATAGGCAGGTCTAACCTAGGCGCCTGCAAGGCTGAAGGTTGCTTTCGTAAGGAGTCACCTATCATAGAGAAGTTGCAGAGACCTGTGACAGAAACATGAAGATCGGTACGGGAGCATCTAGAAGGGCAGTAAAACACAGCAGGTGTTGATAGCACCTAGACTAGCAGGTCATCGAAACCCCAGCACATCTACGTGCGTTTCTAGGGATGCCTACGCTGGGGGAAGAAGGGCAGTGAATAAAGCCTGTGGAGGCACGGGAGTGGGACGTAAGTCCCTGTCAGCTTCTGGAGGGTAGAGAAAGGCACATCCACAGGCAGCACCAGCCTGAGACAGACAGAGGGAAGGCGGTCAGGAGTCAATAACCAGCATCTCTGGTCTTTTCACTGAGGGCAACCAGTGTAGACGTGGCCACAGGAGTCCATGCCTCTCCGAGGTTTGATGCTGGGCAGAGCCCTCAGATACATCCCGGTGCTTGTGCAGGTGGGAACATGAGCAAGATAAATAAGTTTTAAAATAAAATCACAGTCCCCTGTGATGCAACCCCTGGTTTAGCCTTGCTACCTTGGTGCTATGCCATTGCAGGAGCCTTTCCTGCAGCACACCCGCCATTTGCTAAGCCTCCGAGGGGTGTGTGTGAATCAGAAGGGCACAAAGTCTACTATGACAGGCAGAGGGCATTCGTACAGGCTCAGCCCTGATAAACCACGTTGAGGGTGGACACTGCTGTAAAGCATCCATAGGGACAAGCGTCAGTTCTAAGGAAAAACTGCTTTCCACAGTGACAGCAAAACATATACATTTTCTTAGTCTTGACACAACAGAAAATACAGTCACCTCCATTTCCCAACTCTCCTGCAGAGAGGATAAATGCTGGAGACGCAGCGGTGCCCATGTCAACAGGAGCAGAGGTACCGTACCTTGTATTTTGAAGATGACATCAGCTAGGACAGGCGTATTAAAGAACAGCCTGAGAGAAGTATTATACAGCCGTTTTATCTGGTGAGATCTGCAGTCCTTTACAGTGTTTAGCTGCAAAATAAATTATTAATAAAACACTGTCATGTATAGTTGCCCACAGAGTAAAAGATTACAAGACATCATTTATATGGGAAAACTAAACAACAGCCTTTTGCTTTCTACTTTATGTTCTTTTGCTAATGCTACTCAGCCGTGCCTCTCGCACGTGCAACCCTCTGCCATCATCTTTATCGTTCATTTTCCTATTTCCCACAGTGCAGCAGCTCCAAGGCGTCTCTGTCTCCTACACTCACACCCCAGCTCTTGCCGTGGTACTCTCTGACCTGTGACAAAACTCCCCCATCCAGCACCTCTGGGCAGGTTTGGCTGCATCACGAATTTTCTGGACTCCAAACTTTTTCATACGTGCCCTGTTCGGACCCAACGCTGCAGAAACACAAGGTTTGAGGGCTCTGGGGGGAGCACTGATGGGACACACATCCACCCTCCGGCGTGATGCCGCGAACGGATGCAAGGCACCCAAAATTTGTGTTTCTTGATATTGCGCTGATATCGCCTCCACAGAGGCAGAGGGAGCTCACAGGCTGAAGCACAGACTTCTCTTACAATAATCTGGGGATGCTAGCGTCAAGACCCTCCAAAACCCGGTACTTCCAGTTACTTTTTCAGTTTTGTTTTTCTTGCTTTAAAAATGGAATCTAAAGCTACCAAAAGGAACAACATCAAAATCATATTGCTAGGCTGCGATAAGTGAAATTCAGATCACGTTGAATTTATGGTTAAAATTCTATATCTAATTTAGATAGTTATTTTTTATCAAGAAAATCACAATTCATTTCTAGTCCTCATGTCTTTGAAGAAAAACTTTTAAATGTGAAATAAAAGTATCCCAAAGACGTAACAAAACCCCAGAAGGAACAACAAAAACTCAGGTTTATTATCTTAAAAGTTTTCAGGACTTTCTAAGTCTAACTCTATGAATGTTTTAGCTGTGGACACTTAGGACTGGCAGGCCAACAGCTGAGTGATCAGAAGCTTAAAACAGCTAAGGAACTTTTTGATCCTTATATTATGTTATCTCAAGACAGTCCAAGATGATTTCCCATTTAAATGAACAGAAATAGTTTGTGCAAGTTCTACAGTATCAGGGAATGTGTAAGTTCTATCAGCAAATGGCTGTTAAAACTAATTCTATATTGTGACTTTTTATTAACATAATAATGTGACATAAATTACATTTTACTGTGAAATCATCTGCTGAATTAAATATATTGAGCTATAGACGGATTTCCACATCACAGCACTTATAAGAGAAACCAACTCTCCCGATCTACTGCAGAAACATAACTTTTGGCACATATTCAGGAAAGCAAAGCTTTCCTGGGCAGCCTCTATTACATGAGAATTAGGAACACATAATCATATTGTTAGACAATGTGCAAAGCTGTGAATACGAGTAATCCTTTCAGGATACCTACTTGTGTGCTTTTTACCGATTACAGTAATTCTGCACATTAGATCAGCATGTCTGTGTTTCTATTTTGTACATGCCTGTGAACAACCCACTGATAAAAAGTAATAAAAGCTGTATAAGCCAAAGTGAGTTTAAAACAAAGACTGGCAAGGAAACCTTGTCTACAAAACCATTTCCCAAGAACTTAAGTAACTAATACTAACAATTACACTAAGACAGTTAGATGTACCTTCCCTGGAGTTTTCAGGATACATTTAACTTTCTCAAGCACGTGTTCAGTTTTTTCTGGATCCTTCAACTTCTTTTTTATATCCTCTTCTAATCGTTCCCACTGGAAAGCACCTGTCACAAGATCAGGTAAAGTTGGATTGTAAATCAACAAGGCACAGGCCTTAGCAGGCAGTGAAAAGATGGTATCAATGCCAAACAGATCCCTGGAGTTTTCAGGATACATTTAACTTTCTCAAGCACGTGTTCAGTTTTTTCTGGATCCTTCAACTTCTTTTTTATATCCTCTTCTAATCGTTCCCACTGGAAAGCACCTGTCACAAGATCAGGTAAAGTTGGATTGTAAATCAACAAGGCACAGGCCTTAGCAGGCAGTGAAAAGATGGTATCAATGCCAAACAGCTTCTGCAGAAACTATATTTTCTGCAAATAAATCAGCCAGATCTTTGTGCTTAGGAAGGGCAAGATGCAATCCTTGCACAATAAAAACTCCATGGTACTTTTACAAGAATGCAATCAAGTACAGACAGATCAGGGCATCTCCCTTGCTTTAAAAATCAATTTCTGGATTCCTCCTAGTTCAATCACTGCATATTGCAGGTAGACATTCCCAGAAAAATCCTGTATGTATCAATATTTATGGAAGTTCTTTAGCTTCTGCTCATATTTCTGGTTGCATTGCTTTGCAGGTGTCTGAACCAGAAAACCTTCATGCACGGTTATATTCTGAATACTGGTAGCTAAAAACAGCGCAAAGTTTGCAGTGGAATGTCTTTTTTTCTTGTTTTCAGAGTCAAAACCATGATATTCTCTTAGGTGTCTCAATAGCTTTCTGGGAAAAACTAAAAGTGTTGACTGGCGTTAAAACAAACGTAGTTTATCCTTATAGACTTTGCTGGAGTAAGTCTCAAAGACACCATGGGGCTTTTTGGTAACTTTCAGCTCTGGTCTCCAGGCCCATGAAGCAAGGAAGAGTCAGACAGAGGTAAAGCTCAGGGTAAGGCCCAAGTCAGCACAGCCCTGAAGGCACTCTGCTGCAGAAAATGCCGAAACAGCACATACAGCTTACAGCGCCTTTAGCTCTATCAGCTCTTATGTATACTGTATGGATGGTAAGTGTTTATAACCTCACGGGCATGATGTCGTGGTCCTGAAAGGCTGAAAGCGATGGCACTGCCTCATGATCTGATCTCTTCTCAGCCGTGCCTTAAACATCTTTGAAAGAACTCGTCATCTCTCAAAGGTACTAAACATCGCAATGACTTTTGGCAGTGCCCTTCAGGTTGGGAGCTGTGGCTTACAGCAGTTTCATCTACAACTGTACAAAGTCTCCCACCTCTTTGGTTGACATAAGAAAAAGTAAAATTAATACACAGAAGGCAGCAGACATACTTGTCTTTCACCTGCTGAAAGTCCAGGTTTAATCCTCTATTCATGTCACCAGTAAATAAAAAAATCAATCCGTTCACACTCAAGAACTTCTGCATCTGTTCTTTATGCTTGACGCTGGTTTGGAAAGAACTGAAAGGGATGTATTCAATGTACAAACTCTAACTGAAAGCTGAAAGAGGCTCCATTGTGTCTTGACAAGCCAGTGTTCATGTCTCAGCTACTAAGGCAGAAATCCTCTTCATATGTTAG